TATATATATATATATATATATATATATATATATATATATAAAGTTTTGCCATTGTATGCTGTGAAATATATTCTTCTTAAAAAAAAGCAAAAATGGCTATGTATATACATAGTTTAAGCACTTTTATAATTACATATAGTTCCAAACAGGAGTTTAGATACCTTGGCCAAACACTATGTCTCAATGAATTCCTAATGAACAGATGACATAACCTCTAAAGTGAAACAGAATTAAATAGAAATAACACCCAGTTGAGAGTATTTATATTCTGGCTTCCATTTTTTTCCTGTTCTTCCTTGCAGAACTCTTTCAGTTCAGAGATATTCATTGGCTTCCTTACATGCACAGAATATTTGAGATATCCCCACAGATTTTCAGTGATTCAAGTCAGGGAATTGTAAAGGCCATTCCAAGCCATCCATGAAGTACTTACATGAAAAAAAAAGATGAATGCTACAAAAATGTTTGAAAAGTGTTATTTGTCCCAAAGGGAATACTAAAAGTATTGACTGAAAAGGAGTTTAATTTTTGGCATCTGACATACTATTTTCTTTTTTCTCAATCTCTAAATAACATCTATGCATTCAACTCTGCAAACAGATATTATTGTTTGGTTTTTAGCGGCTGAGTCAGCTTTTGATCACTCTGTAATTCATTGAAACATTTAGATTTTTTCAGAATAGCCTGCAACTTTTACACACAACCATATACAGTCCAAGTCAGTACCCACTCAGACTGTAACATGGTAACTATCATTAAGGGCACCAGTCCGTTTCATGGTTTTGGATATGAAAATAGGTCTCCAGATGCAAAGCTCAAGAATTGATACCTACCAAACTTATTTAAATAACTACAGTTCAATAATCTTGTCTTATGTAGAGTACAAATACACATCACATATATTTTAAGTTAAAGTTTTATTGAGATTTTATCCACTGACTTTATTAATAAAATGAAAAACAAACCCATGACATTAGGACTGATTTTAAGATACCATACCAATAAAAGAAGCTCATATGTGCTGGAAAATACTTACTAAAATCACCAGTAAGAAAAACTGCTTCTGCACCAGGAACCCATTCTTTACAGTATAATCCTCCATCTTTGAATCTGTTGATTCCAAATGTTTGGTAACTCTTTGTGAATTCATTGAGACCTTCTTCATTTTCTTCAATCTTCTTTAATATGCGATGAAATATACCATACCTTCAATAAAAGAATGTGGTTTATGGAGTTGCTTTACACACACACGCATACACACAATAGCCAATTAAATTCATGATATCAGTCATTCGTTAACTGCTTTAAATATTAATAGTGTTCAAATCATCTGTTCTATTATATCTTACTAAGCCCAATTATTACAACTTTAAAAAAAATAAAATTGATGAAAAAAAAATTATCCCAAGCATTCTTAAGAAAGTTTTTCTTCAGAAAACAAAACCTACAGCAGAGCAGCCATGCTATGGTTCACATTATTTAACTTAAAAGGGTCATTTGCTCAAAGAAAACATCTGTCATAGTGACAACTAAGATATTAGAACTGTGGTGAAAATGTCATTGCTAGGAAACAATTCAGACTTATTTAAAGCAATGCTACAGGTTTAGACATCTTCTTAAGAAGCTCCCAGGGTATCATTTACTGGCTATTCCATCTGATTATGTTAACATTTTACTTGCAAGGTTAAACCTTTCAATATAGTTTAACATTCTCATGGAATGTTCAAAGAGCATGTTGTGAGTGTACACATCACATTTAACAAGAAGTACTTCCTATCAATGGTTTTGTTTAGAAGACTTAGATTTACCTCATCCCTTGTAAACAATTTTTACACATGAAGCTTATGGCTTATTTAATTTTGTCTCATTCCCAGAAATGATAATGCACATTTTACAGAGAACTATTTCCACTGCTCAACCTTTCAGAATGTTTTGAAATTGACCATGTAGTCATATTCGCTCCAGTTGACTCAGAACAAGTTAGCAATATCACAAGTCAAACAGTGCTATAATACTAAACAGACAGAAGGAAAAATTGCCAGTAAATAGCCCAGCTCCTAATCTATCTTGTTGTGGTAAAAAATCCCTGTTCCATGCAGAAAGAGAGAAAAAATAATAGTACTCCAACTACCAGCATAATATTTTTAGTAGTTGCTATGTTTTTGGCCATTTTGCAAAAAAAAAAAAAAAAACCAACCCCCAAAATACCACCCCTATCTGTTTCTATGAAAGGAAGCTCCCTAGAGACATAGCCATAATTATTCCTACATAATAATTCTAATTGACAGTTTTGATGATACTTAAGAGCTAATAAGTGTTGGTTTCCCCAGCAGTGAGTAAAACACAAATCATTTCCAAATAACTCACCAATCTATTTGAAAATAATTCTGCAATTTTGACTCAGGACAACTGCCAGACTTTGTTCCTGATAGACCTCTAGCTATTGGAGCTATATAGTGTGAAATATTTCACTCCATTAAATTTATTTCCAGGTGTGGGGTGAAATGTGACTTTATCTGCTATTTTTTGCTTTCTTTGTTGCTCAATTGTGTAAGTTAGTCTGTATTATTATTATTACTGTTAATTTGTATTATATTGCACCTCAGTAATGACTAAAATGTGAAAATTAACCTCCCCAAATGCCAGTTCTAATGGCCTCAGATTGGTAGTTACACTGAAGACACTGTCCTTCTCATTTTTAAGTCATCTCTGATGACAGATGGAACTTGTAAGAAAAATGTCTTTCAATAACCAATTCATGGCTTGCTGTCTACTGGTGTGTACTGATTCTGATCACTTTGCTGAGAGAAATCTCATTACAGAGTTGGTGCTGGTACAGGCCAAGCAAGAGACATATTAGTCAAGAATAATGCCATAAGATCAAAAAGATGCTGGGAGAACATCCCCCCCCCCCCCCCTGAGATAATGATATTGAACGTAGGAATGTTCAAAAGTTATGCATTAAACAAGTGCAGAAGTACTTAGAAAAAGGCAACAATTCAAACTATTTATTTCCAGACCCAAATCAAGGTATCGATTTTAAGTTTCAATCCCTATATGGTTTAGAACCCACATACTTGCTGAATTGCTTCTCTTCACCACAATCCGCTGAAATCAAAGGGACTGCTCAGTGTAAGGTAAATGGACTGGGTACTTAAGATGTCATCTCCTTGGTCATGATCACATTATGAAAAACCTTTGTCGTTTTGAGTTATAGGAAGTCATCTTCTCACTCATATTACCCAAAATATTCTGTTTTGACAGACATTTGAGTGGACCTGGTCTACAATTGTTACTGAGATATTATTTTACATTTTTATTGTATTATGATTTTATCTTTCTTCCATGTAAGCTGCCTTGATTTTTTTGAAACAAGGAAAAAATAATAACATTGTTAAAATGAACAACCATCAACCTAAATACTGCAATATTGACATGAAAAATGTCATTTTATTTTTATATTTTTCATCATGAAATAAGGAAGGTGGCGGCTCTCTTTTAAATAATAATAATAAAAAAGATATCACCAGGCATGGTACATTGAGGTTTGTACTGGTAACCTGGCTCACAACTGATGCTAACTGATGTCTCCAGACCCAATATCTTTCTTTGTCTTTATCTACCATAAATAAATTCAGGAAAATATGCTAGAATTTGTTTGTATTTTCTTGCCAGAGTTGTTTAGATTCTCCCTTTTAATGTTGATTGATGCCCTTTTTTTGAATGAATTTTTTTGAAAAGTCATCTTCAATTTTTAATTGATAATCCTCTCTTCTAAAAAGTTCCCAGTCATTCTTCAGTGCCTATCCTGTAGTCTCTTGTGGCAATCTTAGTGACTATCTAAATACTGTATTTTGGGGTGAATAAAATGTATGATTCACTAGGTTATCTGGTGTTGAGACACACCCATTGGTGTGTTAATACTATCAATTGGTCTTGGTAGTTTTGGTATCAGCAGCCCCTAAATAACATAAGTCAGTATGATCTATGCAGCTTGGTAATGGAAAACAATCATATTTACAAGTGTATATTCCTTTTGCTTCTGGTATGGATCACAACGTTAGATTTTGGGTTCACAAAAATGTTCTTCTCCCCTCTGTTAATAAATCCCATATTCAACTGGCAAAACAGGAAAAAAATAGGAGTAGTGAACATGCAGATATCGATATCTGATTTGATATGATAGATCAAAGCAGTAATAGTTGGCAATTTTCTCTAGTGAAAAGCCATTGGAATGGAATGCTGACAGGAAGTTGCTTGTCTAAGAGAACTGTCTGTAAGTAGAAAGCAACTATATTTCTGTTTTTCCTCTACTGTTGAGGATCCTTGGAAACATTGTTCTGCCTGCACTGCAGAATCCAAAGATAATAGCCTCAGATTTATTAATAGCAGAGCTAAGTATCCATACATGTCAATTCTGTCAATGATAGATCTGTTGATGCCATTGTTGAATTGGTAGTCTGACTCGGTGAAGAAAATGTAGCTTTTCTGTTTTTTCCAACCATGAAGGCAATCAAATGTTATTTCCTCTAAGTCAGTCTTGAAGGCAATCAAATGTTATTTCCTCTAAGTCAGTGATGGCTAACCTTTTCTGAACCAAGTACCCAAAGTGTGTGCATGCAGCCTCCCCTCCATGCCCCCCATGCATGCACGGCAGAGACCTGATGACCAGCTGGCCGGCAGGAGATGCATGTGCATGCACAGTGGAGCTGAACTAGGACAACAGCTCACATGCCCACAGAGAGGGAGCTGCGTGCCACCTGTGGCACCTGTGCCATAGGTTTGTCATCACGGCTCTAGGTTGACTTTGATGGTGCCAAGAAAAACATTTCTGCATGTTATTTCCATATGTGAAATACAGTTTTCTGAACCATTATTGAAGCCAAATGGAAACAAATAAAGTCTGTGCTCTGAGTGGTCAGCATCAGAGCGCTCAGTGGTTATGCAATATTTCTCAATACAGTATGGTATAGATGGCCATTTCTTTATTCCTGTTTTTAAATTTCTGGCATAATGTGATCTTTTCCTATAAAGAGAAAGAAAAGACAAAAAACCCATCTTTTTTTGTTTAAATTTCAAAATTAGACCTCAGAGACCAGAGGCCAACCTGTGGAAGAAAAGATAATGTCACTACCTCTTGGACCTAAACAGTGGTGGGTTGCAGGCGGTATGCCCCAGTATGGGCATACCGGAGCCAGCCCGGAGCCTTGGATACCATTCCGGTATGGTGCTCTGGAGGGCCCACCCACCTGCCCGAGCTCCTTACCAGTGTTTAAAGGCTTCTGCACTTCCGCATATAGTGCCTGTGCGACGCTCAGCAGAGCAGCTGGAGCATCGCAGAGGTACTAAGATGCATGTGCATGCTGCGCACATCCATGAGGATTCCACCGGCCCATACCGGTTGGAACGGGATTTGAAACCCACCACTGGATCTAAGGGGGGGAGGGTGGTTAAGGAAGCCTTTGTACACTTAAGCTTAGAAACTTCTCAATTCAGGAAAGTGAGACAAGGGAGAGGGAGTAAACACCCTTATGAGCTTCAGTATGGATTGCAGTGTATGATCAGAAGAAGGTGACTTGCTAAATTTACTTATCAATGTCCTTTGCATATAAAAATACAAACTTTACTGCTAAGTATTAAGCCTGTATAAGGATTTCTTTAAGTTCCATCATCAGTTTTTTGTAATATGCAAGGCAGAACACATTCCTCCCTCAAGAGAAGAGCTCTAAATATAAATTTGCTTTGTCAACAAATGCATGACAGGTGATGGAATTCTGAAGCTTCTTTCAGTTTAATTTGAATGTATAAACTATAAGTCAAACCAAAAAGACAGGAAAAGACAAGTTATACATGTTTGGGAGGAGAAAGGTCAAAACACCACGGCAAAACTGATCAATTAACTATTAAGCCATCTAATCTTTTTCATAAAAGAACTTTTTAAAAACATGTATAGGACAACCATTCCCATCATTCTTTATCATTAGAAACTCTAATTATTCTGTTCTGCTGCATTTTCTTCCAGAAAAATCCAGTGCCTAGCTCTATTATCTGGGGAAAGTTTGAACTGTTAGTGTTGAAAAAGTAGACAAAATCCTGAATGTTGTAAATGTAGTCTCCTATATATTAAAGTTGGCTAAAGTATCCCAAATCTATGGATGATTGGGACAAAACAAAGGGTAAATTTATTCTTGAATGTAGGAGTGGCC